AGAACTATTGATATAGAGACTTTTACACACACACGAAGAGACCTCCGCGGTTTAGAGCAACACACCGCTGAGCTACTAAGGACCCCTTGCCAAAAAAGGCCTCCCAACTTGCTATCATCCATCCATCTATCCATCCATCTGGTTTGATTTTTGTAATTGTTTGACTCACGGATGTAACAATGAACCTGGTCCAACATCCTTGGAAAACTACCCTGATGTTTGGGTCCATAATTCTCTTGGCAACCGTCATCATTTTCTTGTGTGAACATTTTTGCATGTTCCCAAATGAAGGATCCTGTACACAGACAAAGGTCACAAGAAGGAGCCTTCCAAAAAATGCTTATCAGAAGTTAATCCTCATCTATGAGATCAACTCAACCACTGCATTTCATTTCGACCTGTGTGATGCAATCAATTATGGTGGTCGTGATCAATGGTATCGAAGCGCCGATCTATATTTGTGTTTAGATATTGCAATGAACGCAGATGGTTTCCCTGATCACACCACTCACATGCGTAGAACCCTCCACCAAGCAGGTCTGCAGTATCCAGGAACCCGTGAACCAGTCTGTTCCTGGTCCACAACCACTGCATACACAGGACTGTGGACACCCCCACGTTCTGGTTTGAATAAAGACACAAAAGCATGGTGGGACAAAGTCAGGTTTCAAAGAGATTACAACCCAACAAAGAACCCAGTCACTCTCTCATTGAATAAGTTATCCGGCCCTCCACAACATTTTATCTCACAAACAAGGTCAACTTAATATACTTTCTTACTCCAGGCTCACGTAAAAGGCACAGATCCAAAGGGAATTATCACAATAAAATTCATTTCCCCACCTCAGTCTCAACCATCTGAGACATCCACATATACCTCACCTAATATTACAAATGCAGGAGATAACATACCAATTATGTCTGTAGATTACACCAAACTCAAACCTGAACAACTAATAGAACGTGCTACTGGTCATGGAGATGATAACATGTGGCTCTCATGGATAGTTGAAGCAGCAAGAGAAGCTCAGCTCAGCAACTGCATTGCTTGTGCTACAGCCTGACCAAAATTAGTCACTCAGCCCGCCCCATTGTTTCCTGAAGATACATGGGGTTATAACTGTATGCTAAATTTAACCAGACAAAACCCTGTGATAAATTGCACAACTCTGACTGATATCTACCCACCTATTCATAACAAAACACACCCCGGATCATTTAGACCTAATCAAATACCAGGCGGACACCGCCGTTTCAATCTCACTTCAAATAAACCAGAGTTAAATTATGGAGAAAAACAGCAAGATTGGTGTAATTTAATTTTAGCTGTAAAGACTGACAAAGAAGAAGACCAAACAATTGGATCCTGGGCCAGAGCTGGCCTATACTATTATTGTGGTGGCCAAAGATCATCTGTTAAAATCCCCACTAAAACCAAAGGACTCTGTGCTTTAGTCCGCCTCGCAGCCCCCCTAACCCTAGTAGGACACACCATAGCCTCCAACACTCCTAAATGACGTCGACGTTCTACAGATTTCGACCAAACAGACTCCAAAACTTATATAGACGCAATTGGTGTTCCTAGAGGCGTTCCTGATGAATATAAATTAGCCAATCCCATAGCTGCAGGACTTGAATCTCTAATTCCTAACGTGACGGTGAACAAAAACGTAGCCAGAATAAATTTTGTTCACTACAATGTGTTGCGTTTGACTAACCTAACTCGCGAGGCTGTAGAAGGCCTAGCTGATCAACTTCGCCCCACCTCTAAAATGGCTGTGCAAAACAGAATTGCTCTAGACATGCTTCTAGCTGAACAAGGAGGTGTCTGTCACATGATTGGTGATGAATGTTGCACCTTTATCCCCAACAACACAGCCCCTGATGGTAAAGTATCTCGTGCATTGAAAGGCATAAAGGATTTGTCCCAAGAAATGCAAGATGCATCAGGCATAAATGACCCAATCTCAAATTGGTTTGCTAAAATATTTGGACAATGAAAAAGTGTTGTTATGTCCATAATTCTGTCTATAATTGTCGTCATAGCCATCTTGGCTGTTTGTGGCTGTTATTGTATACCATGTTTTCGCACACTGTCCACACATATCATAGCTACTGCAATGACCCCTGAACAACTGGCTGAAACTTATGCTCATATGCTTAAAAATACACCTGAAAACTTAGATCTGACCTTAACTGCAGAATCCACAACTTTTGTTTCGACCAATTAAAATACAATGCTGTAAGAAGTTTCTCATTTCTTTTTTTTTTTTTTTTAACTTTTATTTTGTTTTTACTTTTATTAATTTTTCATTAAAATAATAATTATGTTTCCTTTGTTTTTGCTTGCTATACAGGTACTTCTAAAAAATTTAACATATTGTGATAAAGGTCATAATTTTCCATAATGTAATGATAAAAATGAAACTTTCATATATTTCAGATTCATTGCACACCAACTGAAATATTTCAGGTCTTTGATTGTTTTAATACTGATGATTATGGCATACAGCTCATGAAAACCAAAAATGCCTGTCCCAAAAAATTAGCATATTTCATCCCACCAATGAAAGACAAGTGTTTTTAATACAAAAAATGCCAACCTTCAAATAATCATGTTCAGTTATGCACTCAATACTTGGCTGGTAATCCTTTTGCATGAATGACTGCTTCAATGCGGCGTGGCATGGAGGCAATCAGCCTGTGGCACTGCTGAAGTGTTATGGAGGCCCAGGATGCTTCGATAGCGGCCTTAAGCTCATCCAGAGTGTTGGGTCTTGCGTCTCTCAACTTTCTCTTCTCAATATCCCACAGGTTCTCTATGGGGTTCAGGTCAGGAGAGTTGGCAGGCCAATTGAGCACGGTAATACCATGGTCAGTAAACCATTTACAAGTGGTTTTGGGACTGTGAGCAAGTGCCAGGTCATGCTGAAAAATGAAATCTTCATCTCCATAAAGCTTTTTAGCAGATGGAAGCATGAAGTGCTCCAAAATCTCCTGATAGCTAGCTGCATTGACCCTGCGCTTGATAAAACACAGTGGACCAACACCAGCAGCTGACATGGCACCCCAGACCATCACTGACTGTGGGTGTTTCACACTGGACTTCTGGCATTTTGGCGTTTACTTCTCCCCAGTCTTCCTCCAGACTCTGGCACCTTGATATCCGAGTGACACGCAAAATTTGCTTTCATCCAAAAAAAGTACTTTGGACCACTGAGCAACAGTCAAGTGCTGCTTCTCTTTAGCCCAGGTCAGGTGCTTCTGCCGCTGTTTCTGGTTCAAAAGTGGCTTGACCTGGGGAATGCGGCACCTGTAGCCCATTTCCTGCACACGCCTGTGCACGGTGGCTCTGGATGTTTCTATTCCAGACTCAGTCCACTGCTTCCGCAGGTCCCCCAAGGTCTGGAATCGGCCCTTCTCCACAATCCTCCTCAGGGTCCGGTCACCTCTTCTTGTTGTGCAGCGTTTTCTGCCACACTTTTCCCTTCCCACAGACTTCCCACTGAGGTGCCTTGACACAGCACTCTGGGAACAGCCTATTCGTTCAGCAATTTATTTCTGTGTCTTACCCTCTTGCTTGAGGGTGTCAATGATGGCCTTCTGGACAGCAGTCAGGTCGGCAGTCTTACCCATGATTGTGGTTTTGAGTAATGAACAAGGCTGGGAGTTTTTAAAAGCCTCAGGAATCTTTTGCAGGTGTTTAGAGTTACGTCGTTGATTCAGATGGTTAGCTTGTTTAGAGAACCTTTTCATGATATGCTAATTTTTTTGGGACAGGCATTTTGGGTTTTCATGAGCTGTATGCCATAATCATCAGTATTAAAACAATTAAAGACCTGAAATATTTCAGTTGGTGTGCAATGAATCTGAAATATATGAAAGTTTAATTTTTATCATTACATTATGGAAAATAATGACCTTTATCACAATATGCTAATTTTTTGAGAAGGACCTCTAATTATGGGGACCTGTCCCCCACAAAAACAGCCTATGCAATTTTCTAACTGATGTTTATGATGGTCACATGTTAAAACATACACAGTATGCCACCTGTATCCTGATGTTTTCACCTTATCAGTGTCTGATACTATCTGTATATACCTTGTGTAATTTTCTTAGTTATTATTGTTCAAAATGGAACAAAAAGGGAGGAATTGTGAAATGAAAATATATACTCAAGTATATTGTATTGTTTTTGTTAAGTTTTATGCATATTATTTCAGTTAAAGTTGTGATGTTTACCTATTTCAGACCACCTTTATGCCATGTTCTACTGAAACATCTGTTTTTTCTTTCACACCATGGGACAGGAGGTTAAAAGGGGCCTCTTTGTGTATGAAATCATCAGAAACTTGTTTCCCAGATACTGCTCACACAGAAATCTCCCAAACAGGGGCCCCAGACTGTAGGGATGGCACCATCTAGTGGGCCTTCCCCTGTCTGTTCTCCCTTGTGTCTGTATTGATTGTCTGATTATCGCCACCTGTGTCATGTCCTGGTTATGTGTATATAAAGTCTGTCTGTCAGTTCTGTCGTTGTCGGTTCGTCGTTAGGTATTGCCTGTCCTGTCCTGCCTGTCTGATCCTGTTCTTGAGTCTGCTTTGTAAGTTTTGCTGCCATGTCAGCCTTTTGATTTATTATTATTATTACTATTAAAAGTATTTTATTTTATACGTCTGCCTCCTGAGTCCTTCCTGCGCAACTGGGTTCTTCTGTCCTGATCTGCCTTGAAAACCCTGACAGTACGAACCGACCAAAACCTGAACCCAGCAGGCAGACTCACTCAGACTCTGCTCACCTGTTTTTGCCCGAGCCTGTCCAGATGGAGGGAGCTGCGATACGGTGCGGTTCCTTTTGGACTAGACCCGTCCTGGGACTGAGAAGCTGCAGCCAGGCGGTCGAAGTTCTGCCTTCGCCTCTCTTACTGCAGGAGGAGAGACGAAGATCTCTGCTCCAGAAGAACCACACAGCACCCAGGTCCAGTTCCTCCTACTCACCAGTCTGCTCTGGGTGGACGTCTGGGGAGGACGCCGAGTCAGAGGACGAACTCTGGTTCGCCCCGGTACACCATCCACCTCGCCGCCAAAAGAGAAAGAGAAGACGCAACGGGAACCGGTCCGCTGCTCTTCTGCCCACATCACCTGCATTTCCATCTCCTCGCACTCGGCCCGGCGAGGCTGAGTTTTTTGGTTCCGCCTCCTCCTGGTCCCAGCCTCCAGCCTGCTCTCCTCAGCCAGAACCTGCGAAACCTGGGAGAATTTCGCAGGAGGGGGAGCAGTCATCCCCCCGTTCGTCTGTGGAGTGGACGAAGGGGGGCCAGCCCAGGGAGCGTGTTGGGCAATTGCTTCCTGCTCCTGTTGAGGATGACCAAATCCCTGAGCTGCCTTCTGTAGAGGGCCAGGTGGCTCATCCTCTCTTCAGAGGCTCTATAGTGATTCTCAGAATAACTCCAAGAGACAGAGTTAAAAATAGCAGACGCCTGGTGAACCAACTCTTAGATATCTTCCTCTCACAGCCTGACCTGCTCAGCACATCGGTTCATCAGGTGATCTTCCAATTTGCCATGAAACTAAGAGCTGAACTCGATCCCAGTTTTGTCGTGTCACACACTGCTGAGCCTGCAGCCAGCCCAGAGCCTGCAGCCAGCCCAGAGCCTGCAGTCAGCCCAGAGCCTGCAGCAGCCAGCCCAGAACCTGCTGCGGTATCAGAACTTGTAACAGCCAGCCCAAACCCTGCTGCAGTACCAGAACCTGTAACAGCTAGCCCAAACCAAGATCCAGCCCCAGACAATCCAGTCGCAGAAGAGTTCCTCACACCTGCAGCCCCTGTGGTCGCTCCCATGCCTACTACAGTCCCCGTAGTATTTCCATCTCCTGCAGCCTCTGCATCATCCACGCTATGTGAGGACACAACCTGTCCTGAGCCCATAGACCCAGACACATCTTCTCCTGATCCTGTTGCTGCATGCAGCTCCCATGGTGGATCCCTTACCGCTCCTGTCTGCTCAGCTGTGGGAGTCCAGGTGGACTCTGCTCCTGCCTGCTCAGCCATGGGGGCCCAAACAGACTCCACTCTTGCCTGCTCAGCCATGGGGGCCCAAATGGACACCGCTCTTGCTCCAGATCCTGCGTCCGCCGAAGGGTCTTCACCTCACCCTGTTGGTCCTGCTAAAGAGGATACTGGCCAGCCTGCGACCCTCAGTTCACGCCTCCTGTCTCGAGGGGGTCCTGGAGGAAGCCTCTCATGTCGCCTGTCTCGAGGGGGTCCTGGAGGACGCCCCTCACGTCACCTGTCTTGAGGGGGTCCTTGAGGATGCCCCTCACGCCGCCCGTCTCGAAGGGGTCCTGGAGGACGCCCCTCACGCTGCCCATCTCGAGGGGGTCCTAGAAGACGCCCCTCATGCCACCCGTCTCGAGGGGGTCCTGGAGGACGCCCCATCACGCTGCCCACCTGAACAGTGGTCCTGTACTGGACGGCCTCCCGGCCGCCCACCTGATCTGCTCTGGCCCGTCGGACAGCCACCCGGCCGCCCACCTGACCTGCTTTGGCCCATTGGACGGCCTCCCGGCCGCCCACCTGATCTGCTCTGGCCCGTCGGATGGCCTCCCGGCCGCCTACCTGACCTGCTTTGGCCCGTCGGACGGCCTCCCGGCCGCCCACCTGACCTGCTCGGAGCCAGTGGCTGGTCTCCCGGCCATCTGGACATTTTTGCGTTTCCCTACTTGGTTTAGTCCCCAGGCCTTGTCCTGTCAGTTTTGTTTTGGTCCTTGTGTGTCTTTGTTCGGGCCCGCCACCCTTGCAGTTCCTCCCTCCGCCTGCCCTAGTTTTCTGGGAGGGGGTTTCTTGGGGACACTAGGGGACGTCTTTGAGGGGGGGGGTACTGTAGGGATGGCACCATCTAGTGGGCCTTCCCCTGTCTGTTCTCCCTTGTGTCTGTATTGATTGTCTGATTATCGTCACCTGTGTCATGTCCTGGTTGTGTGTATATAAAGTCTGTCTGTCAGTTCTGTCGTTGTCGGTTCATCGTTAAGTATTGCCTGTCCTGTCCTGCCTGTCTGATCCCGTTCTTGAGTCTGCTTTGTAAGTTTTGCTGCCATGTCAGCCTTTTGATTTATTATTATTATTAGTATTAAAAGTATTATTTTATACGTCTGCCTCCTGAGTCCTGCCTGCGCAACTGGGTTCTTCTGTCCTGATCTGCCTTGAAAACTCTGACACAGACAAGGAATTGTTTGTTCTAGCCCTTAAGGCGAGAATCCACCATCTGGAACCTGTCAGCTGCCTAAGAGGCTAGGGATGTTTTATGACATGTTGAAGTGTATAAAATGAAGCTATACTGCTCATGTTTTTTGAGCTGACACAGAACTCCATGAGCTGCTGTATCCATGCGTTTTCCTTCTGCAGAAGAAAAAATAAACTTTACTACGTGTTTTTAAACAAAGTTCTCAGTCTCTAAATTTTATTTTGAACAATAAGTTTGATAAAACTCCACAACACAAACACATTTTTCAGCTGTGACAGGCTAAAAATACCGGCAGCGCTCTGTACAAATAAAATAGGGACGGCACGATTGAAAAAGGGAAGGGGGCACAGAGTTTTTTTTCCTTTTTCAGATGGACACGATGGACCTGGCCTGCCCCTTGGAGTCAAAAAGAAATTCAGGGTCTAGAAACTGATTAACATTTTTTAGATAACGCTTTCTTGCATTAGGACGCCACCTGCAATTATTAAATCATATTTAGAGAACTGACTTAGACCAATGTTAGAAATTTCCATTATGTCATTGCACCACACCAGGGGGATGCTGAATTCCTAGGCAGATGTCCAGATGCTGGGTCAGGCGACCTGAGGGCTGGCAGGTCATCACATTAGCTGTCAGCTCTGACATCTTATTTTGACCTGAGGCTGCCAGGTCACACGCTGTAGCCTGTAGGCATCTCCCGCCAACATATAAGGAGTAGTTCACATTCAACCTGAGGAAAGTGATTAATTGCTTGCTTATCTGGAGGTATTGAACTGGGAGTTTTATGCGGGGGAACCCCTTTGGGGACCCCCGCCCAGTAGGAGTTAAGATATTTCTTGTTTTAGACTGGTCCTATGGTTTTGATCTGCTCAGAGATGGGATTATAATGAAATTATGACCCGGTTCTGCTGAGTTAAACTGGGCCAGCAGCTCTCAAGAGAGTCTCCCTGGGATTTCAATATCAGTAAAATAGTTTAATCTGCTTGCCACATCACGTAGAAAGGCTTTGAAGCACCATCTCATATTTTTCCTAACACATCAGTCCACATAAGACCACACTTAGTCACGCCCCCTCATACACTTGTAGTGAACTAGGCCTCCGACCAAAACCTGTCTCTAAAGACCTTCATGGGACAGGAACTGTTATTTAATTTATTTGAATCCAGAAATACAAATTAGCTCATCCAGAGACTGTCTAATTGTATCTTGAATTAATCAATTGAAAGAAAACTCTTCTTTTTACATTATCATTACTATTTTACAATATCCTGATAATCAAAAGTGTGTTTAGTTCATATCATTTCTAATGTTGAAAGTAAACCACTCATTTAAATCAACTGTGAAACAGTATTAATGATTTTTAAACCTCATTTAAATTAGAAATCAAGTTAAATGTCTATTTACAAAGTAATTATGCATTTTGATCTTCTGTCTGAATGAGAAGTCAGTGATGTCGGTCGAAAGTCAGAGACAGTCAGAAAACAAGTTATTAGAACGAACTGTATTGTTTTTAAACCTAGCAGACGATAAAAAAAAACAACTGGCATCTGCGTTTGTCTCACTTCGCCATAACATTTCTCTGTCTGTACTAAACATTCCTGCACCCTCTCTTGACTTTTAATAACCCTCTAACATCACTAGAACCACCCCGTTGGTTGTTCCAACCAATCAGGAAGTACTAAGTGACCGGAAGTGAGGACTCTTTAAAAAGTCAACACTTCCTGGAACTATTCAGTCTTGGAAGAAGTGGAGTCTTCTCGACTCTTCAGTCTTGGACCAGTCTTTGATCTGAGTCTTCTCAGTCGAACTCAGTCTCTGACTATGGAGTCTTCCTGAGAGTTCCTAAGGAACTTTCAGATTTAATCAATAGCTGATGGATTTGACCGTGAGACGAGAGTCCGTCCATCTCAGCGGAGACACAGTGCCTTGCTGTGAACTCACCCGGGCGTAACGCCCTACAACTTCGAAGGAAGCTTGTCTGTTTAACGGAGTAAACCACACAACTTCTGTCGATGCCCAACCACCCTGACCGGAGACGCTGTAAAAGGATCGTACTAATGGACTTCTGTTCCAGAGTGGAGGTATCCCCCGTCTAAGGTAACGAAGTCTCGGCACGTCCTGAAGTGTACCGGAGGTTTGAGCTGGTGTTGAAAGACGCGTGCTAATTCTGGTCAACAAAACATAAACCTTCCTTCATCCATCTCCCTTTAAACTTCTCCATTCCTTCCTTTAAACTCTTCTTTCCACCAGTAAATCAATCTAGATGCCTTCAGAAATGTTCTGTTGTCTTGTTAGTAAAGCGTGCCAAGTTTTTATTAATCAGAACCAGATCAGCGAATCCTTGTGTACATGTTTTGACGTTAAATTTTGATTCTGTTAAATAAATGACCGCATTTATTCTGATGGGTCAAAGAAAAATAACATCTCATGTCACTGATTAAACAATCCATAACAGTTATCTCATCACATGGCATTAATTTAACTCAAAAAAGAAAGAACCCGTTGTAATTAAATAATTAATTAGTAGTGAAGGTACAGTGAAGCTGACTCCCACATTTCACTACATTTTGGGGCCCATACGTGTTTTAAATAACATAAATGGTGGCCCGTGTGTCCACAGCAAAGCTGTCCCTTGACATACTACACACTGACAGGTTGAGCTCCCCCTTCTGCTAAGGCAGAGCCTAGGACCCTATAAAGGAGTAATGAGACGAGACATCGAGGCTCTTCCGGGTCTGTGTATGCGTGACAGTCTGGAGAGTCCAGCGTTGTAAAACTGTAATCTTCTCCTGCCTTTTTAATATAATCGATAAAACTTAATTGACGTCTCATTGATTTATTTGTTAGCATGAGTTGCCACTTCTGAGGGAGGTTCGAGCCGGGGGTAAGGACGTGGGCTGGAGGGGGTTTCCGGATCCGGTGGCCAGCAGCCAGCTCCCATCTTTAAGAATATATACACACACAAACACCACACACACACAATACCCCCACCCTATGTAAAGAAATATTGGTGTCAATATCAATGTGATTAATCAAAATCAGTTAAATGGGAATGTTAGTGCTCTTTATTCAATAAATCTGCATGTCACATTTCAAGAACTGGTTATTAGACACAGATTAAATGTTCAATATGAATATTACTATATTTATTACCCCAGTAATACACATTTGTAGTTGTAAACACTAAAAAAATACATATGTTGGTTTAGTTCTTACCAACATCTGGCTGGTATTTTAGCTCCTCTTGTTGGAAACACACCTCATCACATAAAGAACTCCATTGATTTTGCCAGCAAAATTCAACATTTGAAACTAACCCCAGGAGAAACCCTTGTATCGTATGATGTGACTTCTCTTTTCACTTGCATACCCATCTCTGAAGCCGTAAATGGTAAATGGACTGTACTTATATAGCGCATTTCTATCTTATTTCAAGACACTCAAAGCGCTTTACACAACAATCTGTGTCCTCATTTACCCATTCATACAGCACTCTAATAGATCTCTACAAAGCTAATTGAACAAATCATCCTAAAGAGACTAATCAGTGCTTTATATCACATTCATACACTGATGGGACACACATCAGAGGCTATGAGGGGTTCAGTGTCTTGCCCAGGGACACTTCGACATGTGACTGCTGGTGGATTCGAACCCCCAACTCTCGCATTGGAGGACGACTGCTCTAACCACTCAGCCACAGCCACCCCCTCTATGTAGACAGTAGAAACCGTCAGAAAACAAATTCTACAAGACAATGAATTAATCAACAGGACCAACCTCACCCCAGATCAGATCTGCACCCTGATGGATCTCTGCCTCTCCACCACTTATTTTAAGTTCAATT